TTAGAATGAACGAAGAGAGCCTCGAGGACACCTGGATAACTTTTTATTGTCTAACGGCTGCGCTTGTAAGTACAATAATTTCAAGTTGTGCGAGTCGCGCGCGTAACTCTTACGCAAGCCTGCGTGATATTAAAACTGATAACAGTATTACTATGCGTCATTCATGTTGTTAGGTGCACGGGGATATCGCTCCACTAAAGATCCGCGTCAGCACCACGTTACGTTTCACGTCGCGCCGATTTAAGCTTGGCTCAATTCGTTCTTTGTCCCTTTTCAACTGTTACTCTAAAAAGAGACGAACGTGAATTTAACTAGGATTAAAGTTAAGCGACGTTTGGTGAACTGGCCCTTAATCTATGCCGTTTCAAATACGTTGGATACACACAGCATGCATTTTGTATGTGTTATAGGTTTAGCATCTCCGTATAATCAGTGGCAAGGTCTCGCAATCAAGTCGCGGGACTCGATATCGCAATCAATCGCAATATATCCCGTCCAATCCCGCGGGTCAATCTCGGGCTCCAATTCGCGGTCGCAATTTGTCATCCTATTTGGACTCACGACAGTGACACGCGGGGGGGGGGGGGGGAAAGTTTCAAGACTTTATCGGGAACGTTGCGGGTCTCGTTGCTGCGGAATATTACGCGACACGAATCGGATGTGCAGCCACCGTAGTGCTTTAGCGCGGCGGAGTGCGAAAGGATGACTTTTCTGCGAAGGAAATCGCTCGGCGTGGCGCGTTCTCTGCAATCAGGAAAGCACGAGGGAGGAACGAGAGCGCGTTATTAACAGAAAAAGTGAAAGCGACGAGTCGTTTTACAGGTGCACGACTTCCCCGTGCGATATCGTGTCGTTTTGCTCCTTCCTTCCCGAACGTCTTTATTAGCGACGTCAGCCGGTGGAAGTGAATTACCGCGATCGACGATGGTGCGCGGGCGCACACGTCAATCGTCCATAAAGAGTCGCGGTTACGTCTAAAGTTATGAAATTCAATTATTCGCTCGGCGAGACTGAAACGTTCGTGCCTCGTGCAATCAACGTTCTTTAACGAACGAATGCGCGCCGCGACGAAGACGTTCGGAAATTGGCCAACCCGAGTCGAAATTTTGGTACTATTTTCACACTTTTTAGGGTAATTTACACCTGCCTACATAGAGCAGCAATAGCCTACTTTGGTGACATATCTTTTTTACTCCTCCCTTGAATCTTTAATTCTAATAATTTACTTTAGCTTCTACTTAAAAGGACCTACTTTAATGCTAAATTGGCAACAGTAGAAATTTCCGACTATCAGTTTTGAAAGTCGGAGTAAATTTTGTACTTGCAGTTCGACCTCTTTTACTGTCTTAGGTCCTACTGTATAATAGAATTAAAGGTTCAACATAGGGCCAAAATTTCGACTCGGGAAGTTACAAAAATTTCCCTCAGCGCGGTTATTCGCTTCCGAAGGGCTTCGAATTTGAATCGCAAATGCTGCCCATTACATTTCCTATGTCTATCACGCTACGTTTTCTCGGGCATTACCTTCGTTAGTATATCAGGTCGATTTTTCTTACGGCATACGCGAAGAGACATTAATAACGTGCGATGTGTTTTTTTTTTCAGAGGCAAATACGCAACGGTAAGGAGATGCCGCGAGAGATCCAGCGGCAGGCAGTGGGCCGCCAAGTTTCTGAGGAAGCGACGGCGGGCTCAGGAGCTGAGAGCGGAAGCGCTTCACGAGGTCGCCGTGCTGGATGCCGCGGCCCATTGTTCTCGTCTCGTCTCCCTTCATCAGGTCTTTGAGACCAACACCGAGATGGTGCTCGTCCTCGAACTGTAAGTACAAGGACGTTTCTCTCAATCGCCTGCCTGTATTCTCGGTCGGGTCATCTCGAACGTATCCTTCGAATTGAATATATAAAGTAACTTTTATCGTTTGGCGCGGTTGCGTCATTTGTCGTGGGTAGTAAAGGACAGTTTATCGTTTAGACGATTCGCGCCGCGAACGAGGGAACGAAATAAAACGGTACGATGAACAGCGACGATGTGGCGTGTAACTTTCTACGTGTCGTAACGCGGCTGCTAATTATTTAAAAAGTAGGACAAAAGCGTAAACCGATGATTTAAGCGTACGTCGCGTGCGCTACGGTCAGTTGTAAAAGTTACGTCGCGCCGATCCGTCCCGACGCGCAGCGCGCCGCGCCGCGCCGCGCCGCGTGCATTTGAATGAATTTATGGAACACATCGGCGCGCGTCTCGCGCGAAAAAGTCTACATGTTAAGCGTAAACATTGTGCAAGTCGTGCGAGACAGGTAATGTTTATTGCGACAGGGCTCCTGGCGGCGAGCTGCAAATGATACTCGACCGGGACGAAGTTCCAGAGGAGCGGCAGGTCGCCAGATTGCTGAAGCAGATTTTGGACGGGATAGCCTTTCTGCATTCCCTCAACGTGGCTCACCTCGACATCAAGGTAAGTGTTTTCAAACACTCGAACTACGGTTTGCGTACGGCGAAGGCAGGCCTAACGCCGTCACCGAAGGTGTGGCTTAACATTCAAAACTGCTGCACGCGTGTCAAAGATCGTAAATATAATATCTACGGTACAGCGTGCCTTGGTGCTTTCCCTTCGAGAAAAAGTATGTTACACAATTCTGTAATGCTACACGGTGGTCGGTTTTGTTTTTAGATAATGCTTATAGTTTTCAATCGCGTTGTCGAGTGACATGTGACTTTCCGATTTCGAGCGTGACTTGGAAAGATATCCCGACCAAATATTTTAGGCAGATAACTCGCTCGGCGGTTCATTGCTCGCGGTAACGTTGCCACTCTTTTATCGCCGATAATAAATTCCTCCGGGTAACGTTCGTTTTTGCAACTGGCGGGATTGGGGAATAACCCGTGAAAACGCGAGCGAGATTCGCCGGCGTGATTCGCCGCTTACGGCGTATCTCCAGACGTTAAAAATAACAAGCGAGGCGCGATAACGGGCGAAGATTGTCGCTCGTGCAAATAATTCTTATCTCGTTTTTCCGCGCGCGGATGAAACGGAGGAGGCTACGCCCGGGGCGTCTCTTGGCGCGCGGCAGGTAACTCTGAATTGTCACGATGGAAACAATAATTAAATGAAAAATCGGAAATCCTATGTTTGCGTCGCAATATCTCCACTCGAGAGGGAACGTAGGAGAAAAATAAAAACACCTTTATTATACAAATCGAACCCAAGCTATCGCTTGAGCGCACTTAGTCCATCGGATCAGTCGTTGTTGAGATCCGAAAATCTGAGGGCCTGTCAACTCGCGTACTCGCGTAAACTGCACGGTCGGTCTCGCGCGCTCGCGCGCGATTCTAGCTGCGCTTGTACTTGGTGCGAGACACTACCGTGTCTCGTGTTATGGAAGAGTTGGCGATTCGCTCGATGCGATAAAGACGATCTTTAACGCAGAACGATATCGCGAAGGGAGAGACCGGTAGGACCGGTAGTCCGAGCTTTCGGTGAAAATATCCGACGACGGAAAAAGGAGCCGGTCCACTACGCGCTCTTTCTCTCTCTCTCTCTCTCTCCTCTCTCTCTCTCTCTCTCTCTCTCTCTCTCTCTCTCTCTCTCCCTCTCTCTC